AAGACCAGCCTGATCAATATGGTGAACCCCCGTCAAAAAAAAAAAAAAACAAAAATCAGCCAGATGTGGTGGTGCACACCTGAAGTCCCAGCTACTTGGGAGGCTGAGGTGGGAGGATCTCTTGAGTCTGGGAGGCAAAGCCTGCAGTGAGCTAAGACAGTCTCACTGAACTCCAGCCTGGGCAACAGAGCAAGACCGTGTCTCAAGAAAAGCGTATTTTCTTTACAGCAGCAATTATAATAGTTGCATTAAAACCCTTGTTAATTCATCAATCTAGGTCCTATCAGGGGTCAGTTTCCAGTAGAATGGAAAATGAATAACAATTTTCTTTTCTTAATAAATTCACAGGTTTTGTTATTGGTAAAGCACCTGCAATGGAACTAAAGGTTTTCAGGAAGGTGGTTTTTTTTTGTTTTTGGCAGAGGGGAGGAGTCCTCCTCTATCATCCAGGCTGGATTGCAATGGGGCAATCTTGGTTCACTGCAACCTCCACCTCCTGGGCTCAGTAGCTGGGACAACAGTCACTTGCCATCATGCCCAGATAAATTTTGTATTTTTGTAGAGATGGGGTTTTTGCCACGTTGGCCAGGCTGGTCTTAAACCTCAGATGATCTGGCCACCTCGGCCTCCAAAAGTGCTGGGATGACAGGTGTGAGCCACTGAGCCTGGCCAGGTGTTTGGGTTTTGTAAACTGAGCACGTGAACAGAATATGGGGACAGTTATTTTAGGAATTAACGAAAGCAGCAACAGCACTCCTAAGAAACCGTGGATGGATGTCATGCTTAGAATGTGGATCCCAGGAGCACTGCACCTTTCCAGGTTAGGGAGGAGTCAAGAGGCCACAAGCTTCTCTCCTGGAAAGGTCATTCCTTGCTTGCACCTTGGGAAGGAGGAGCCATCCCAGGAAGGCTGACTTGTTGGAGTGCTGTCAGGACAAAGCCATTCACTCCTGAACTTTGAAATACACTGCTGTCTGAGTTAAACTAGTAAAATCCGTCCACAATGGCTATGGTTAGCCATTTGTGGGAGTCAGCCAAGAGGCTGTTGTAAATGAGTCACTCAAGTTTGCAGACAGCCCCGCTTGGGAGATCTGGGTCAATTTCAGGGAGGAAGCAGGCCTTGACTGCTTCCTTGACTCTGACTATAATTTAGTAAGCAGGCGTCTAATCCATGGCGTCCAACTGTGCCTCGTGTATGGATGCAGGGGTTGGTCAGCTGGGCGGTGCTGATTTGGCCAGCTTTTGGTTCTGAGTCCAAGGTTTCTGCCTCTTCCAAGAATGAAACCTGGGCTGCTGACTTAATCTCGAGCTCCAGTCCCTCCTCATCTGTACAACAGGCTCCGCCTGGCACTTGATCATGCGTCAGGCCTGATTAATGTGGGTGCCTGGCCGAGCCCTGTTCCTGTCGAGAGAGTCCTGGCCAAGCAGATCTGAGCATCCCATTTTCTTGGGAAAGCAGGGCAGGGGGTGGAGGTGTCTTGACCAGTGGACTTCTCTATACCACAGCCTTCAGGTCGCACCCTACTGTCTCAGACTCCAGCCTCCCCAGGGTTGTGTCCTGGGGTGAAGGGGCCAGGGTAAGTGCCTCCTAATTTGTCAAAGGTCTCCCCTTAAGCAGCCATCCCATGTACTGGCTTGAATAGTGTCCCCTCAAACCTACATCCATTAGAACATGTGGATGCAACCTTATTTGGAAGCAGGGGCTTTGCAGACATTATTGGTTAGGTATCTTGTGATGAACTGTTTTGGATTTAGGTAGGTCTCGAACCCAGCGACTGGAGTCCTTGTAAGAGAAGAGGACGCAGACACACAGGGAGAAGGCCAGGGAAAGACAGAGACTGGAGTGACATGGCCACAAGCCCAGGGATGCAGGAGGGGCTCCTCCCCTAGAACCTCCGGAGGGAGGGCAGCCCTGCCCACACCCTGGTTCTGGCTTCTAGAGCTGTGAGAATCCACTTCTGTTGTTGAAGGGCAGACGTTTGTGATCATTTGTCAAGGCCATGTCGAGAAATGCATCCATCTGCATTTGCAGAGCAGTTAGGTGGCCATAAGTTTCTCCCTGGGGTGCGGATTTATTTTTGACCATGGACATCCCTTTGAGCCTGCAAGGCTGAGGAATGCTACCAGCGGGGCTGAAGACGCTCCCAAAACATTCAGCTGCCATCTAGCGGCATGCCTTTTTCTTCGGGGTGGGGTGGGGTAGGAGGTCTCATTCTATCATCCAGGCTGGAGTGCAATGGCATGATTGCAGCTCACTTGCAGGCTTGAACTCCAACGACTCTAGGGCCCAGTGATCCTCCTGCCTCAGTCTTCCAGATAGCTGCGGCCACAGGTGCATGATGCCATGCTTGGCTAAATTTTTTTTAAAAAGCCCTGTTTTTAGTAGAGACAGTGTCTAGCTTTGTTGCCCAGGCTGGTCTTGAATTCTGGGCTCAGGCCATCCTCCTGCCTCAGCCTCCTAAAGTGCTGCAATTATAGGTGTGAGATATGGGGCTTTCTTTTTTTTTTTTTTTAAATTGTTTTATGATGAAGGATCTCAGGCAGACAACAAAAGCACAGGTCCCATAACAAACACCACAGACCTTTCACACAGCCGGCAGCATGGAAACCACGACTCCCTTTATACTTAGATTTGTTTCATTCTCAATGTGTTTTAAACTTAATTCAAAACAATGTTTTTATTAGTTTATTTTTATAATAAGTGAGCGTGTCTGATGCCCTATTTTATTGAAAAAGACAACCTGCTTAGTAAACTTGGAAGGCCCACCGAGCTGCCGGCCTCCAATGCCACCTCTTTGCCTACAGCCTGGAGCAAACTTTTTTCCGGGTTTAAACACAGTGCTTACGATTGGCACTTGTTACAATTCCCCTTATGCCAGGGTGGGATTTTTCTTCCAAACTACACAAGTCCTAACTGCTTGTGGCAAAACTTAAATCACACAGAGATACTACAAGAAAATTTGGCCTGAGGTCCCCAGGGTGACCCCTCACCGCAGGCACATTAGGAAGGGAAGTCACGTAGTATCCCCACCCCTTCGCCCCCCAGCTCCTCCTCCAGGGAGGCGGTTCTCCTGAAAGCCCCAGACTCAGTAGAGCTGCCTGGCTGTCTGCGGTTCCCACCTCCCCCAGGGCCTCCCGGTGCACAAGACCCTCCCTGCAAGGGAAGCTGGGATAGGTGGGCATATACCCTTTGAGCTTCACAGCTGCTGCAGCTGCCAGGCTGGGCGGTTCCCCCAGAGGACCCTTGGGTAATGCCAACAAAGGTATGAGAGCAGGACGCTGAGCCCAGCCTACAGAGCCCCGACTACCTTATGACGGGCTCCCGCCAGGGCCTGGAAGAACAGAGAAGACACCACTGTGTGTACAAGGCACCAGACTCATTACAATCTCACTGGAGTAGCAGCGCACTTGAAGAGTGGGGGCCTGAGCGTGGGAACCTTCAAAGTTACCCCGGCCTTTGGGACCCAGGGGCCTTGGAACCTGGTCGGTTTCATGCGAGTCCTGCATTCTGCTTCTGTCCTGAGTCCAGTCTGAGGGCAGCGGCTGTGCAGTGAGCCTGCGCCCTGCCTTGCAAGTGTGCATGCAGCCGGTCAGCCTGCCTGTGGTTTGACCTACTTTAAAAATGTTCTAATTAGTTGTCAACACTTAAAAATTAAAAATCCTGAGATTTAATCATCACTCTCCATTTCTGCTCTTTCTGGAAAACTCAGGCTGTCCCACTACTGAGCTCAAGGTGCCCCTTGGAGCCCCCAGAGGTGCCCTCTCCGCCATACCCAGCTTGGTCCATTCATTTCCTCTCCTGCCTTCTGGGAGCCAAAGGTCAGGTACAAAATTCCAGCTGTCCGTTGACGGCGATTTTCCCCAAACACTGCTTTCCTGTAGGGGAGGCGCCTCTCCTAGGCTCCGTCCTCCACGCTCACTGGCTGCTGCGGCTGCGGAGAACACGCCTGGGCTGAGGTCCCGTATTCCGTTCGTTTGAAAGGCTGCAATGCGAACAGGCAGTAGGGCCCAATTCGGGTCTGTTTTCGAGACCAGCAGTTTCCTTTCTTAAAACAATTAAAATCAATCATTTTTTGTCAGCAACGTCATTCGTCGTCCCGAGGTCTCTGCTTACTGCGGCGCTGTCCTCAGCTGCGAAGACTGAGCCTGTGGCCTCTGGTCCCCAGTGAGGTCCGAGGCAAGGAAGCGTCTTTCTGAAACCTATTCTGGGCTCTTAGGAAGAAACGGGAGAAAGGAAAACCACTAGAAATGTCCAATAACACCATCTTTTGGTTGGAAAATAAAACACGCAGAAGGGGACTGGAAGTTTCACTGAAGTATTTCTAGAGAGAAGGTGCTTGGGAACGTTATTTTAGGTAACTTACTCCCCTCCCCCGCAGAAGGCAAAAAGAAAGTTACTTCCAGACGGGTGGGCTTCACTAGCTCGGGAACTCGGTTTGGTGCCTGGCAGGCACCGTGCTCTTACCTACAGGCTTATAAGACACCCTCGTCTCCAAGGCGGCAGCTGGGTGCGGGGACAGTCACCCCGGGCGGCTTGGTTTATTGATTAAAAATGGAGGGAAGGGCCCGGGGTGGTCACGATTGGAGAGTGAGGAGAGCCGTGCGCGCAGGACCCCTCCCCACCGCCCCGGACTGGCTGAGCCAGGGACGGACCCAGCTTCCGCGCAGCGGCTCGGAGGGGCCGGGCGACCGTGCCCGTCCTCAGGGCGCGCCGTGAGAGCCCCGTCCCAGTCCCCGTTCCCGCCGCGCCGTCACCCGCCTCCCGGGCCCACCCGCTCCGGGGCCTGCGCGCTGCCCCGCCAGCGTTCCGGCAGCCCTGCGCGCTGCTCCCCGGGCCTGGGGCCGGCCCCGCGCCGCCGCCACCGCGCACAGCGAGCGACCCGCCAGGCGCTCCCGTTTGCGCCGCCGCAGCCATTTTGGAGCCAGCGGAGACAAAGAGCGAGGCCTCGCCGCCGCCCCGCGTCCGCCTCGGCCCGGCTTGGCGCGCCGTCCCCGCATCCCGCGCTCCGCCCCGCAGCCCCCGCGCCGCCCGCC